CAGGAGACTCGCTTGAGCCCAGGAGTTGGAGGTTGCTGTGAGCTGTGATGTCATGGCACTCTACCCAGGGGGATAGCTTGAGGCTCCATCTCAAAAAAAATAAAAAAATAAAAATAAAAATCATCTTGATTGCCATATCAAAAATTTATTTTCAGGACTTAATTTACTTCTCTCGTCTCTTTTACATTTTTGCATCAACAAATGTGGTTCTTAGCACTTTATCTAAAGTAGATACTGTAAACGTATGCACAGAAGTGTGGTTGCTGTGTACAATCCCATCGGTACGTGTTTCTGTATATCCCATAGAACTGTGGAGTTTAAAGGTCTCTGAATAGAATTTTAGGCAGACTGAGTTTGGGTCAGATGACACCTCCTTAATCACCTTATTAATCACACTCTGACGGGCCTGTCAGTTGCTAACAGAGCTGTGATAACATGTGGGTCTTGGTTCTTCCATCCAAGCTTTACAGGGCTGGAGGGGGTGTCCGGTCAACACATGGAAACAACTCTGCTTATACAATGGAGAAGAATATTTTTGCATGATGGTGCCATATTTAGAGCTCTTACAAGAGCGAGCACACAATCTCTCCACCTGGACGATTCAGCCGTAGTGGGAAGTTACCGGTGGGTGTGTTCCTGGCTCTCTGGGCACCCTTCTGCAACTCACAAAGGTGGACAGTGAGCCGAGGAGGTTTCCTCTTTGGTCTTGAAGAAGCATCATTTCTTCTCAAATGGTCATAAGCAGTATTAGTCCATTTTCCAAACAGAATGAAAGACATCACCAAAAACTCCATCCCACTTCATACATGGTAAATTGGTCAGTTACCCCATATTTCATCTATCTATCTGTCTATCATCTATCATTTTTGAGACAGAGTCTCGCTCCATTGCCTCAGGCTAGAATGTTGTGGCATCATAGCTCACAGCAACCTCTAAGTCCTAGGTTCACATGATCCTTCTTGCCTCAGCCTTCCAAGTAGCTGGGGCTATAGGTGCCTGCCACAGCACCTAGCTCTTTTTTCTATTTTTAGAGACAGACTCAGGCTGGTCTCCAACTCCTGACCTCAGGCAATCCACCTAACTCTGGCCTCCCAAAGTGCTAGGATTATAGGTGTGAGCCACTGTGCCCAGCCTGCCCCACAGTTCTTGATGACCACCTGGGATATCCTGCAAGAATCCCTCGATGCATAGTGCTGACCGTTTACCCACCTCTTGGAAAGGTCTTCTCAGGCCATCTACCTATACAGATGACACAGCCACGGCCACTCTCCTTAGGTCAGGGATCCAGGAGGTGAAATCATGTTCACTTACTGCCACCTAGTGGTTCTTCATTTCTCAAAGTTCTTTTTCCCTCTTTCTTTTAAGAAGTTTTCTGTTGGATTTTAGGGCTGAAATCATACAGACATCTATTTAGGGTGGGGTTAGTAACATGCCCAGAGGCAGGGAGGTAGTGGTGGCGGTGGTTTAAAGTGGAAGACTTAACCTCTCGCTGTTGGAGCTGCCATCACCCTCTACACACACACACACACCCAGGATCAGCTCTGCGGTCCTCTCTTCTCTCTTTGTAGCTTGGAGAAGAGTCAAGCCTTCTTTTTTTTTTTTTTTTTTTTTTTTTTGAGACAGAAGCCTCAAGCTGTCCCCCAGGGTAGAGTGCCGTGGCATCACAGCTCACAGCAACCTCCAACTCCTGGGCTCATGCGAGTCTCCTGCCTCAGCCTCCCAACTAGCTGGGACCACAGGCACCAGCCACAACGCCCAGCTAATTTTTGGTTGCAGCCGTCATTGTTGTCTGGCAGGACAGGGCTGAATTTGAACCTGCCACCTTGGGTGTACGTGGCTGGCGCCTTAGCCGCTTGAGCCACAGGCGCCGAGCCGAGTCAAGCCATCTTGATGGGACAGTCAGTAAACCAGGGATTCTCATTTGAGGGCAATTTTGCTCCCCCTTTGACAACATCTGGAGACATTTTTGTTTGTCACAAGTTATGTGGTGGGGTGGAGGGAGGTTGCTAGTGACATCTGGCAGGTAATGTTACACAAACTGCTAAACATCCTCCAGTGCCCAGCACAGTCCTCCACAACAAAGAGTAATATTTGGCCCAAAATGTCAAATGCCAAAGTCGAGAAGCTTAATATAAACTGATCTGGGCTTCTCATTTTTGCTCTACTATAATTTCTCTCTTTCTCTCTCTCATCTGTCTCTGTCTCTCCTCCAACATGTGTACCCTCCTCTCCTTCACTAGACTGAGCATCACTGGAAATGAAGGGTGGGTCCCCATCATCCAGGTGTGATGTTCCCTTTACCCAACCAGAGCCTCCCCCTGGACCTGGGGAAACTTCCTTGGACCTGCCTCGCACCTCTGCAGAGCTTTCCCAAGCAAAGCAAGCTACTGTTCTAAGATGTGCGCCTGCCGTCTAGGTGACAACAGGGGGGACACTAGGACACATATAAATTAGAAGGTGCAGACATGCACTCAGCGCCTGTACCTTCCTCTGTGAGGACCCCGTGCTCAGCCCCTCCTGCTGATCTGTTTGCTCCCCGCAGTGAGCTGGAAGACTTTGTCGAAGAGTTAAAGAAGGACTCCACGTCCGCTGGCCGGGTGGTGACTCTAAAAGACGTGGAAGATGGGGCCTTCCTCCTGCGACAAGTGGGAGAAGCTGTAGCTACTCTGAAAGGTAAGCTCTCAGGTGAACAGGGGAAGTCTCACCTGTCTTCCCTGGGGTGTTTAAAAACCTGTCAAGCAGTGACAGATTTCAACACCTCTTGCGCCAGTCACTCTTCCGGGCATTTGAGGTCCATCACAGGGTAAGGAAGGCAAACATCTGTCTTTTTGGAGCTTCTATTGTAGCAACTGCTGTGAGGTTTCAGACCAAGTGATACTGATATCACTTTCTTTTTTTAATTTTTTTTTGCCCCGAGTAGAGTGCCCTGGCATCACAGCTCACAGCAACCTCAAACTCTTGGTCTCAAGCAGTTCTCTTGCCTCAGCCTCCCAAGTAGGTGGGACTACTGGCACCCGCCACAACACCTGGCTATTTTTAGAGATGGAGGTCTTGCTCTTGCTCAGGCTGATCTTGAAACTGTGAGTTCAGGTGATCCATCTGCCTCGGCCTCCCAGAGTGCTAAGATTACAGGCGTGAGCCACCATGCCTGGCCTTCATAACACTTTCTGTTCACTGGGTTCTTCTTACAGTGTGCCAGCACCTGTGTCAAACTCTTTCCTTTTTTTTTTTTTAGAGACAGGGTCTGACTTTGTGACCCAGGCTATAGTGCAGCAGTGTCATCACAGCTCACTGCAGCCTTGAACTCTGGGCTCATGTGATCCTCCCACCTCAGCCTCCCCAGTCGTCACACAGCACCATCCTTGGCTAATTTTTTTAATTTTTTGTACAGACAGTGTCTCACTATGTTGGCCAGGCTGGTCTTGACCTCATGGCCTCAAATGCCTCTCAAAATGCTGGGATTCCAGGTGTGACCACTGCACCTAGCCTCAAACCCATTACAAAGAACCCTAAGAGCCAACTGGCCTCTTCCCAAGTATATATGGATTAAAAAATGAGCCTAGAGGGCTTTGCCCTTGCCCCGGCTCACTTTACCTGTGTTCTTCACCCATTGTCTCCCCAAGACACTTCTCAGTCCTATGTGGTGTCCAGGGTGCAGGATGGGGTGGTTGTTCTGGCGTTTTCTCTCTGACTCTCCATCTGGTTTGGGCCTGCAGGAGAATTTCCAACCTTACAAAACAAGATGAGGGCCATCCTACGCATCGAGGTGGAGGCCGTGCGTTTTCTGAAGGAGGAGCCGCACAAGCTGGACAGTCTCCTGAAGCGTGTGCGCGGCATGACGGATGTCCTGACCATGCTGCGGAGGTGACCAGTGCCCACCGGGCTGGGGGTGGCCTCTGCAGGGTGGGCTGCGCAGGCTTGAGGTGAAGGTTTTATACTCCACGCTTTCCCACCCTCCTGAGACCTGTCCCCATTTTTGTGACTTACTCGCATCTTACTTAAGATATTCTAGGGAGAAGCCGCAAGTCCAGCCTACCCTTGAATCTCTTTTGCATTATGGCTGAGGTTCTAACTTTTTATCTCAAGTTTGCTGAGGGGGGTGAATCCTAGAGTCTAAACTTAATAGACATAGTAAATATTTTTTTAAAAGTCAGTTGAACGCAGGTCTTTAAACATAACATTTTGACCTGGTTCTTTGTACCCTCAAGGAATCCCCAACAACAACAAAACTAAAAAATACAATAAAATAAAAAATAAATAAAAATAACATTTTGAAGTTGGGAGAATAGATCAAAATACAGTAGAACCTCTGTAGTTAACCACCTCCCTATACTGACCACCTCCTTGAGTTGACCTGAGACTGGACATACACCACATGTACAATCAGTACAGTAAGTAGGCCTAATTCCTGATGTTGACCAGTTTATTACAGTCCCTTGGGTGATGGACTTACAAAGGTTCTACTGTAGTTTATTAATCTCCTTGACTTCAAGGAGCATAGGTGATGTCAGTTAGAAGAAACTGAGTAGAAATTAAGAAAGCCGTTCTTGGCTTAGTGCTCTGTAGCACAGTGATTACAGCACCAGTCAGATGCACTGAGGCTGACAGGTTCAAGCCCAGCTCAGGCGAGCTAATCAACAATGACAACTGAAAAAAAAAAAAAAAAAAAAAGCCGGGAGTTGTGGCAGGCACCTGTAGTTCCAGCTACTCAGGAGGCTGAGGCAAGAGAATCACTTAAGCCCAAGAGTTGGAGGTGTCTATGAGCTGTGACGCCACAGCACTCTACCGACAGCAATGTAATGAGACTCTGTCTCAAAAGAAAAAAAAAAAAGAAAGCCGTTCTCAAACTATCTACTAAAAGAATATCTGAGAAGTTGTTGGTCCCACCATTGAATGGCATGGACCTCTGCGTATCACTGATTCATCTCAGACTTTCAGTAAAAAGAAAATTCCAGAGCTCTCCACCCACTAAAAAAAGTGCTGACATGGCTCGGCGCCTGTGGCTCAAGTGGCTAAGGCGCCAGCCACATACACCTAAGATGATGGGTTCAAATCCAGCCGTGGCCCACCAAATAACAATGATGGCTGCAACCAAAAAATAGCCAGGCGTTGTGGTGGGCACCTGTGGTCCCACCTACTTGAGAGACTGAGGCAGGAGACTCGCTTGAGCCCAGGAGTTGGAGGTTGCTGTGAGCTGTGATGCCACAGCACTCTACCCAGGGGGACAGCTTAAGGCTCTGTCTCAAAAAAAAAAAAAAGTGCTGACATATATGTATGCAGGATTTGTGTTGCCAAAAGTGCCTTTGCAAAGGACATCCCAGACTGTTGCATGTGTGTGCTCTGTGTTGGAGTCTCACAGTTAGATCTCTCTTCCCAACATCATAATCACAGTGACCTACACCAGTGAGCACTTTCTGTGTATCAGGCACTGAACTACGCCCTTTACGTTTATTCACTCATTGGGTCCTAATTAAAAACCCTACAGGGCAGGCACTGCTATTCTCATTTTATAGGTAGAATCTGAGGTTCCAGGATAGTCCCTATGATTCAGAGCTGGAGTTCGGATGTAACCCCACAGTTTGACCCCAGACTTTTTATTGGTTCTCATCTTGCAGCCAGGCAGCCAGCCCTACTGCTGTGTGTTACAAATATAGCAATACACAAGATAAACAGGACCCCTCCCTTATCTAACTTATTATCTCACATGGGAACTAGACACTAAACAACCAAAAATAAATCCTTCCCAATAGTTGGCAGTCTCTAGCCTGTTAATAGAACTAGGAAATTGCCCTTCAAATCCTGGACCAGATTTGAGAGCAGGTCACCAAGAGACATAACATGCCAGAGACTTTCTTGTGAGAATTCTAATCATGAGTTATAATCAACTGATCAGATTTATAAGAGAAATATATTAAGTGTGCAGATAACTTTAAGATGAATTATTAACCAGAGGAGCAAGTGAGATTTTTCCAGTAACAAACCTCAAGAGCGAGCCCCTTTTGAGAGGAGAACACTCCAGAACATCTGTGTAGTTATCTCTGTAAGTTCCAGAATGCCCAAGAAGTTCAGAAATAAAATGAAAACCGCCTCATCCTGCCCAGTCAATCTCCAACGTGTACAGGAAAGAAATTGTACCTGTACGAAATTTTCTTACAGGTTCATTCATTTCAAATTGCAGAATGTACTTTTTCTTCCAGTAGGATAGAAATCTATCGAAGGAATTCTGCACCAAGCTCTTACCTAAATATGGTAACCCATGCATGAAACCCCAAACAAGCCACGCTGATTAAGTAAACTGTGACAGGTGACGGTGCTTCTTTCCCTCTTCTCTTTCCTCAAAAGTAATGAAAAGACTTTTTTTTTTTTAAGAGACAGAGGGAAAGAGGCACCCTCAGTAGAGTGCTGTGGCATCACAGCTCACAGCAACTTCAAACTCTTGGGCTCAAGTGATTCTCTTGCCTCAGCCTCCTGCTTAGCTGGGACTACAGGCGCCTACCACAATACCCAGCTATTTTTTGTTGCAGTTTGGCCAGGGCTGGGTTTGAACCCGCCACCCTCGGTATATGGGGCCAGCGCCCTACCCACTGAGCCACAGGCACCACCCCATGAAAAGATATTTTTACAGGCAGAGCAATGAAGTTTAGTATTTGTCTTATCTCCAGGGAATGTAAGTTCTGAAAAATGGGATTCTATTATTCTGTCCCATTAAATACTCGGTGCTGCGAGTGATGCGTAAAGCCAGTTAACTAACTTTACAAATGAAAGGGATTTGAGCTGGCACCAACCTTCCCCTCACAAGCCTTTACATAATTAACATCATATTTGTACTGTTTGTGTATCCTGTGCAATACTTGGCACCATGGAAGGCACAGGAGAAAAGTAGGAGTTACACGCACCACCCCTCCCCAGGCCATGTGTGTGTCCTCATGCCCCCGCAGGGAAGGTAGCACAGTGACAAACTGTCACAGTTCAGAGCAGACTCAGGGTCTTGGGAAGAGGCTGAAGGCACATGGCACGTGTTGCATTGGGGGATTGGAAGGATATCCAAACGCAGCTAAATTTAGAATAGTGGACTGAAGTTCAAGAGGCAGAATTAAAGAGGGTTCCCTGCCTAACACAGAGGAAGGGCAGGACGGAGGAAGAAAGGGTTGATTGAACTGGGAGTTGCCTTCATGGAGGTGATGACTGAAAATGGAAGAGATGGCTAGTGGAGTAATAGTTGGGAATCTTTGGGGACTTCAAGGGCTGGATGGATAAAGTAAGCAGCTAAGAAACAAGAGTAGCAGGAGAGTTATAGAATGTGTTGTCTTTTTTCAAATTAAAAAAAAGGATTTAATGAACGCAGAGGGACTAATTAAAAATTATGGGTCATGCAAGGCATGCTGGCTCACACCTGTAATCCTAGCACTCTGGGAGGCCAAGGCAGGTGGATTGCCCTGAGCTCACAGGTTCAAGACCAGCCTGGGCAAGAGCGAGACCCCATCTCTAAAAATAGTGGGATTACATTTTACACACAGAGACATGTGTGAGGGTCAGGCATGGTGACTCACGCCTGTAATCTCAGCCGTCTGGGAAGCTGAGGGGGAAGTATTGAGCTCAGGAATCTGAAACCAGCTTGAGCAAGAGCGAGATCCCATCTCTACTAAAAACAGAAAAATTAGCTGTGTGTGGTAGTGCATATGCCTGTGGTCCCTCCAAGCTACCAGGAGACTGAGGCAGAAGGATTGCATTTGAGCTCAGGAGTATAAAGTTGCAATGAGCTATGATGGTGCCACTGCACTCCAACCTGAGGCAGCAAAGTAAGATCCTGTCTCAAAAACCAGCAACAGTATCTAAGGCTCCAAAGGTGAAGGTCCCAGCATTGTATAGCTATACTATGGTATAACTGATATATATATATATTTTCCCCCCCTCGGTGAGACAGGGTCTCACTTTGCCACCTATGGTAGAGAGCACCATGGTGCCATCATAGCTCACAGCAACCTCAAATTCTTAGCCTCAAGCAATCCTCTTGCCTCAGCCTCCCAAGTAGCTGGGACTACAGGTGCCCGCCACAACTTATGGCTAGTTTTTTTCTCTTTTCAGTAGAGGTGGGGTCTTGCTCTTGCTCCACCTGGTCCCAGGCTCCTGAGTTCTAGTTATCCACCCACCTCAGCCTCCCAGAGTGCTAGGATTATGGGTGTGAGCCACCGCATCTGGCCTAGAACTAATATTCAAACACACATCTCTCCCCAAAGGCCCTGTCTTTTTCCACTGCACCATGGGTGAAGATGGACAATTAGCATCAAAATAAACCCCAAATCAGAGGAGAATAAAAATGAAACCCAACTTTTAGGTTTGGAGTCGCTGTTGACCTTCCTGAAGACTTGGTTGAGTCTGGGTAAAGAAACCAGTTAGCAACAGGCTGAGGTCCCAGAAGAGCAAACAGAAGGAATGAGGATGCAGGAATCTGGAGAAGGAATCTCTCCCAAGAGTCTAGGCCACCACGGTGCTCACGGAAAGGGACATTCTGAGAGATGCCATCCCTGAGCTGCTGTTCCAAGTTTTGGGATATTTGACTCTCAGCTGGCTTTGGGATGACATGGCTTTCAAGGGTACCATGGTGATGAAATGGAAGGGATGCGTCCTGAGCATTAATGTTGCTGTGCTTGGTTTCTCTTAGACATGTCACTGATGGTCTCCTGAAAGGCACAGATGCAGCCCAAGCTGCACAGTACGTCGCTATGGAGAAGGCCATGGCCGCAGAAGTCCTGAAGAACCAGGAGGAGGCAGCCCATACCTCTGGCCAGCCCCTCCACAGCACAGGGATCTCGGGTGATGTGAAGTCGGAAGAGAGGCTCGTGTCCGGCATGACAGCGCACCACACACAGAGCTCTCCTGGGGTCGTCCAGCCCTCCCAGCACTCCTCGGGCCTGCTGAACCCTGCCCAGAACTTGCCCATGGGGAAGGGTCCTCGCACAGCCAGCCCCCCAGCCAGCTCCCAAGAAGTGACCTCCACCCTGCACTCAGCACAGACTCCACAGTCCCCACACACACCCATGAATGGGTCCACCATGCAGAGCTTGTTCATTGAAGAAATCCACGGTGTGAGTGCCAAGAACAGGGCAATGTCTATTGAGGTAGAGTCCTATTTCCATTTCTCAAACCCCATAATGCATGATCCTTTCCCTCAGAGAACTTACAGCCTGATTTGTAGAGATGATACGTACATGGATCAGAGATATATTTTTGGAACTGGGAAGGAGGTTCAGTGGCCAGGTTAAGAGATAGGCCATCTGGTTTTAAAGAAGGGTGAAACACTTAACATGTAGGAAGAGGAGGCAGTGGTATGCTGGTAACTGTTCAACAGCTGGCTCTCTGAGGTGGAAAAGCCCTGATGTGCAGCTTTTGCCAATTGCCCTGGTGTAAATAACCCCTCACTCACCCACCATGCTGATGTCAAGCTATACCATGACATGACTATACGTGAAGCCAGGAAATGTGACAATTATTCTTCCAGTGCCAGGGCGAGCTGGCTCAAGCATTCCACTGTGGGGAAGGCAGACCTGGGTAGGGGTTCCCACTGATCTAGGAAGACAAGTGGAATCTAAGTGGAGAAGGGAGGGAAGGGCATTCTAGGCTACAGAATGCAGGAACAAGAAAGAGAAGACTAGGGAAATTAGGCTGGAAACTGACTTAAGAGTGCTTAGGAACCAGATATCTGGAGATTATTTGGAAGGTATCAGAGAAATGCTGCAGCTTTAATAAGTCATTTGTTTTAGGGGGGTCAGGGTTTGGTTTTTTTTTTTAGACAGTCTCACTCTGTCACCCTGGGTAGAGTGCCATGGTGCTATAGCTAACAGCAACCTCAAAATCTTGGGCTCAAGTGATCTCCTGCCACAGCCTCCCAAGTAGCTGGAACTACAGGCGTCCCCCATGATGCCCGCCTAGTTTTTCTATTTTTAGAAGAGACGGGGTCCTGCTCTTGCTCAGTCTGGTCTTAAACTCCTGAGCTCAAGCCATCCTCTGGCCTTGGCTTCCCCAGAGTTTTGCATTACAGCCGTGAGCCAGTGCACCCCACCCAGTGGTTTTTTTTGTTGTTGTTGTTGTTTGTTTGTTTGTTTAAATGACATCTTTAGGAAATTGTTTTGGAGACAATATACAGAACTGATAGATGGTGGGTCTAGAATTAAGGGAGCTGGGCGAGAAGTTGTTACAGGCATCTGGAATGAAAGGTGGAGGCATTCATAATGGAAAGAGAAAGGAGGTCTTGAGTCAAATAACACAAAATCACGCCATGCTTTTCAGTATTCTTTTAATCAAGAGCTGGCACTGATTCTCAGATAACACATTTTGCTTCCCTAGCTTTCTCTGTCTTCTGCTCTGTAACTTTTCCTCCTCTCACTGCACTCTCCCCCGCAGCCTGCTCTAGCCTTCCTGCCTCTCTTGAAGGTCACCAGTGGGTAGCTCATGTTGGATATATTGCAACATGAGTCCTTGCAGGACTGCTGCAGCCACAGGCCTGGCTGCTGGGCACTAGCTGGGCCCCTAATTGGAGCCAGTTGCTTAAAAATATGCACATGAAGACCAGGTGCAGTGGCCCATATTTGGAGTAATCCCAGCACTCTGGGAGGCCAAAGCAGGAGGATCGCTTGAGCTCAGGCGTTTGAGACCAGCCTGAGCAAGAATGAGACGCTGTCTCTACTAAAAATAGAAAAATTAGCCAGGCATTGTGGCAGACGCCTGTAGTCCCAGCTACTAAAAAGGCTGAGTCAGGAGAATCCCTTAAACCCAGGAGTTTAAGGTTGTCATGAGCTAGGCTGATGCCACAGCCACTCCAGCCTAGGCAACAGAATAACTCTTGTCTCAAAAAAACTAAAAAAATTAAAAATACATATCACGGGAGGGGATGGAAATGTGATTACAGGAGTGTGGTTTGATCCCACGGCCTAGCAGAGTAGAGGAGGAAAATATGTTTCCTCCTGAGGATCAGTGGACCTGTCACTTAAGATATCTCACCTCTAAACATCTCAGTAGTCAAAGGATGTATTGAGGTGACCTCGTAGGACTGTAGCCATGCTCACATCAGTATGATGACAAATATCTATTAAGAAACTAGTGACATAATTACTATAATGGGTTTAAGTTTTGAAAGGACACTTGTGAGTCACATCTGAAAATTCCCTGATCCCTAAGTCAAGAGGCCTGAGTTTTTCTGACAGTTCTGCCTCTAATGAATGGGGCGGCTTAGTCAACGTAGAGATTACGTAGCCCCACTAGGCACCTGGCCCTTGTAGCTCTGGGGATGGACAGAACAGAAGAGGCAAAATCTCTGGCCTTGAGAAACTTACCTACTTATAAGGAGAGGGAAAATGTGTACGCCAGGTGATAGATAATAAATGTTAGTAAGAAAAATACAAGAAGGTAAGCATGGGGAAGGTGGTGGATACCTCCCCACCTATTTCTCTAGAGTGAGTCTTGGGCAAATTCTTCATCTCAGCTGAGCCTCAAAATTCCTATCTGTACAATGTGTAAAATTCAGTGATCTTTTCTAATTCTTACATTATGGGGTTGCGCTAATTCTGATGTGAATTTCCACTCTGCCCCTCCTGGAATGATCCGTGTGCTGTTTATAAAATCACAGGAAAATGTGCTTTTAAAAAGTGAACAGTACACCAGCTACAGTGGCTTATACCCCCAGAACTTTAGGGGAGGCCACAGTGGGAGGATCTCTTAAGGCCTGGAGTTCCAGAGCAAAATGGCCAACATTCTGCTTGGGTCTCTACCAGAAATTTTTTTAAAAATTAACCAGGTGTGGTGGTACACACCGATAGCTATAGTCCCAGCTACTTGAGAGAGACCAAAGTGGGAGGATTGCTTGATCCCTAGAGTTTGAGTCTTCAGTGAACTATGATTGCACCAGTGCTCTCCAGCCTGGGTGATGGAGTAAGACTCTATCTCAAAAAAAAAAAAAAAAAAAGGGTGGGGCGGTGCTGTGGTTCAAAGGAGTAGGGCACCAGCCCCATATACCAGAGGTGGCAGGTTCAAATCCAACCCCAGCCAAAAAAAAAAAAAAAAGGGGTACAGGTATTTAAAAATATGTATTATATGTAACTTCCTATTGTGGAATTTGATGAAGCTTCCACATCATCTAAATAATATCATCTCCCCCACGTTTTATAAGACAACATAATTGAGAAGGTCATACAGCAATTTTTTGATACAAGTCAAACTAAGACACAGGATTTTTTGGTGAGGGTTTTCGTTTCTGTTTCTACTAGTTTTTCGTATAGGGTTTTTGTTTGTACAATGAAAACTCAGTTTGAACAACCAAACCTTGGTAGTGGGAGGCGTACCCTGGAAAGCGTTATTAGTGTCTCTTTCTGTTGGAATTGGTAGAAGCACATGGTAGGTGCTCAGTAATCACTTAATGAATGAATTTGCGTTTCTGAGCTTGCTTCTCTGTGAAGAATACGGCTTGAGCTTAAATGACAGCACATGTAACTATAGACAATGTTGGAGACAGCGGGAGAGTCAGGGAGCTTGGACTTGGCAAGGTTTGGCTGATGTGTGTGCAGAAATGGGGCGTTATTTCACCAACACGTTTTCACATCTCCTCCCCACCGTGATGTAAAATCTCTAAACTGTTAATTAGCTTTTCCCTCACGTTTTTAAGCTTTCTTTGCTTGTTGTTTTCCTTCAGAAAGCAGAAAGGAAATGGGAAGAAAAGAGACAAAATCTGGACCATTATAATGGGAAGGAATTTGAGAAGCTTCTAGAAGAAGCTCAGGCCAATATCATGAAATCAATCCCAAACCTGGAGATGCCACCAAGCTCAGGCCCACCGTCAAAGGGAGAGGCTTCAGTGGACAGGCTAGAGTTATCAGGTAAGGTCCAGTCCCAGGGCAGACACTTACCAAGATGTGTGGGCCAGCACTGTGGGAGGCCAAGGTGGGTGGATTGTTTAAGCTTAGGAGTTCCGGGTCCAGCCTGAGCAAGAGCAAGACCCTGTCTCTAAAGCTAGCCAGGCATTGTCCCTATTCTCATTACCTCACCACCTCAGGAGGCTGAGGCAAGAGGATTGCTTGAGCCCCGAGAGTTTGAGGTTGCTGTGAGCTGTGAAGCCACAGCACTCTCCCATGGAGACAAAGTGAAACTCTATCTCAAAAAAAAAAAAAAACCGTGTGGGCTAACAGCATGGGTCAGTGCTGGTCAGCAGAACCAATGTCTTACTTCTTAGGCATTTTTAAAAATGTCAGTTAGAGCTGGGCACTGTAACTAAGTGGTTAGTGTGCCAGCCAGACACACCAGAGGCTGCATGTTCGAACCTCACCTGGGCCAGATTAACAAAAAAAAAAAAAAAAAGAAAGAAAGAAAGAAAAATGCAGGCCTTTAAAAAAAAAAAAAAGTCAGGCCAGGTGTGGTGGTTCATACCTGTAATCCTAGGATTCAGGGAGGCTAAAAGCGAGTGCATAATTTGAGTTTAGGAGTTCAAGACCAGCCTGAGCAAGAATGAGACCCCCCCCCCATCTCTACTAAAAATAAGGAAAAAAAAAAAACTAGCCAAGTATTGTGGTAGGCACCTATAGTCCCAGCTACTCAGGAGGCTGAGGCAAAAGGATTGCTTGAGCCTGTGCATTTGTGGTTGCTGTGACACCACGGCCCTCTACCCAGGGCACAGAGCGAGTCTCTGTCTTAAAAAAATAAAAAATAACTAAAATAAAAATGTCAGTTGGAAGAGCAAAGCCTCAGGTCTTCCTTAGATCTTCATTACTGCTTTTTTAACTCTAACCACAGTAGGGAAGCTGTGTTCTGGGATACTAGAATAATGGGGATATTCAAATCCCCAGCTTCTCCATTTCCTGTGTGTCTATGACACTCCACAGCGCCAGCTGGAACAGTCTGAGATCTGCATTTAAAACAAGAGCTTTTCCTGTGCTTGCTGAAAGAAAATGCCAGGGGATAGTTGATCATCAGGCAAAATTGCATCTTTTAAATCAAAATTATTAGAATGTGCATTTAACCAGCTTGACCATGGAGGTTAAACAGCAATATCTCAATAATAACATGACTTTTAAAAGGACTCAATCTACTGTATCTCCTACCAATGACAAACCATGTGCTTTATTCCAATCGTAAAATTACATACACAGCCATTATTTTACTTGCAGCCCAGTGTCCCCATGGTGTCACATTCAACGATGCTCACCTAGCAACTAGAATGGAAAGGAGTCCCCCATCTTGAGTTGCATGTCAATGAACATTGAATTAGATTTGATTTATAATCACTATATGCTTGTTCCTTAGTGTCCATGGGGGATTAGTTCCAGGAACCCTGTCAGACACCAAAATCCAAAGATGCTCGATTCCCTAATATTAAATGACATGGTATTTGCATGTAACCTCCGCACATCCTCCCATAGACTTTAAATCATCTCTACACACCTTGTGATACCTAAGAGTACACCTTCCCATCACCTCATTTTTAGGGTTTCGACATAGTATTGGCAGGAGGCAAATGCAAGTTTTGTTTTGGGGAACTATGTGGATTTTCTTTCTCTGACCACTTTCGATGTACAGTTGGTTGACTCCACAGATGCAGGGGGCTTGACTGTACTTCTCTCTTCCCTAAGTTTCCACTCACTGAAACTCTTTCCCCACCAGCCCGAGCAAGAGCAAGACCCTGTCTCTACTAAAAATAGAAAAACTAGCTGGGTATTGCAGTGGTTGCCTGTAGTCCCAGCTACTTGGGAGCTGAGGCAAGAGGATCAATTGAGCTCAAAAGTTTGAGGTTGCTGTGAGCTATGACACCATGGTACTCTACCAAGGGCAAAGAGTGAAACTCTGTCCCCCACAATAAAGGGAGGGAGGGAGGGAGGAAAGGAAGGAAGGAAGGAATTCTGTCCCCTCAGCCCAAGCTAACAGGCTTTTCTCATTCTTTATCAGGCCTCTCCAGGGCCCTGGGTAGCCAGGCAGCTCAAAGAGGGTAGGGCCCTGGGACGGCTTTCTTCCTGCTGTCCCCATGGAGAATTTCTGCTGGAGAAAACAGCCTACCTGGGCTTGGAGCCTGTGGCTCAAGCAGCTAAGGCGCCAGCCACATACACCTAAGGTGGTGGGTTCAAATCCAGCCTGGGCCCGCCAAACAATGACAGCTGCAACCAAAAAAATAGCCAGGCGTTGTGGCGGGCGCCTGTGGTCCCAGCTACTTGGGAGGCAGAGGCAGGAGACTCGCTTGAGCCCAGGAGTTG